CACCCACGTGATCTGCGCAGGCGCGCCCCGCCCCGCCCACCGCCTGGACTCCGCCTCCTAGCGGACGAGCGCGCGCACTCCCTGTTCTCGCCCTGCTACTCCCGCGCACGCGCGCGCCTTTCACCGCCCCCACACCCCCCGCCTCCCGCCATCCGGCTTAACGTGGCCCGCGCGCGCCCCGGCGGTTCCAGTGACAGGTACGCGGGGAGGGGGCCACGAGGGCAGCGCGCAGGCGCAGTTCCTGACCTCTGCCTCGCCGCTTCCCCCTCCTTCGCAAGGTGTGCCCAGGCGAGGGGAGGGGCTGGTTGCCCCAACTCCTGGGTCATCCAACATTACTAACAAACAAAAAGCCTTTACACCCATCTGGGTAGGCTAGAAAGCAGCTGTGCACAAACAACATTTTTTTCAGTTTTAAGATCTTTTTCAGAGATAAGATGATTAAAATATTTTTAATTAGTGTCTTCATAAAGCTATCCTTTAATTGTTGCTGTTTTTCTGAAAGGGCTGGGCCTACGCCGCTATAATAACTTGAGATTTCTAAACTTGGCTTAGGTTCCAAGAATCCACTTGGCTTTGATAGAAATCCACATAGATGAAAACCAGGCTTAAAACTGGGGACAAAAAAAAAAAAAATAGCCCTCCCCCTGCCCCTCAATGCCAACTTATTTAAAGCGTTTTCCAATTATACTTTTTATTTGCTCATTAAAAAAGTAAAAAGTTATGATTCTTAAGTGATATTCCCCCGTTTTAAGTAACCCCCAAGGAAGAACCATAAAAGCCAACAATCACATCCACCAAGTTCTCTGCCCCACGATGCAAACGAATGCAAAAGTAAAGGGAGCTTTGCAAGTCACCACAAACAAAATAGACGAGGTTTTTTTTTTTTTTTGGTATTGGCCTTGGGTGTATCCTAAATGGAAAAACTTAAAACACATTATGAAAGGCACTTAAAGTATATATTTAATAAATCAGAAGCAAAAAAAATCCCTACAAAAATGCTCCACTGGTGAGCAGTGCAATCCTTAAAAAATAGAAAATGGAATTTAAGAGTTTCTTAGCAAAGGGGAAGAATTTGCCAAGTGTGATGTTTTGCTGTCATTTTATATATAACTACTAACCCCAAATATGGTCTGGTTAGTCTTTTTTAAAAGGGAAGTGAACCAATTACTTACTCACACTTAATTAATTAGCAGTGCCAGAAGTAGATTCTTAGGCCAGAACTCTTTTTTCTTTTTTTTTTTCACTCAAGTACACTGATACTGATCACTTCTACTACTAGAGTTCCTTTTCTCAGGGAAGATGAATATCTTTTTAAAAATATTTTTTAGTCTTATAAATAGTCACATCCCAAAGCAGTCCAAAGGCATACTCTTCCTAAACAAGAAACTTCGTTTAACTTATCAAAACAAATGACTTAGGGCATTGCTACAAAACAAAGAAACTATGAACAAGTGAAACCAAATTGAGTCTCCACATAAGTGTAGCCTTACTCTACATGTTAATGGATAACCTTTGAACTCTGAAACCTTGAATGCTGTAAACACAATAGCACTGATAGTTAAAAATTCTAGTGTCAAAATTGAGGAAAAAGAAAAGTCCAAACTTTTCAGTAGGAATAGGGAAACAATCAAATGTTTTGACAAATAATCGTTTCACTAAGAACAATGAGACTCTTGGCTCTCAGACCTTGTTGCTACTGAATTATTTTCTGAGCAAAAAAAAATGGTGCTTTTCCCCGTATGCCCTCACAGAGCTACCACTTTGTAAGCATAATAGTATCATATGGTTTGTTAGTTACAGTTTCTCCTCCCCCACTCCGCAAAAAAAAAAAAACAACAAAAAACAAAAACCACAACACCTTATTATGTTGTAGCTTTAAAACTGAAAGATAATTGTATTAAATCTATCTGCTAAGAGTTTTATACACGAGCCTTGTGTTTGAGCAAAGAATTACAAAGAACCTTACTCCTGGAGACGTGCCAACAAAACTGGGAAGTCGTTGCAAAATTCTGCCAGTGGCTGAGTGCTGGGTTGCAAACACATACTGTGTTTTTAAATGGACATAGAGTGATCTGAATGCGCCGTAAGACACATTCGCCCCTCAGAAGGCGGAGACTCACACTTAAGATTTATTTGGAAATCATGTATAGTTAAAATAATTAAGAATGGAAACTCCAAAAGCAACAGGAGGACACTGGGAACATTTGGTTTTGTAGTAAAACCTGAGAACTCATTATTATCGCATGAAAAGAAAATTGAAAGTCGAACGTTGGTCTCCATATACTTAGCTCCGCCCACCCGTAATCCTGTTTTGCCATCGCCCCCCACCCCACCCCACCCCCACCCCCACCCCCACCCCCGCCCCAGCGAGACTATCTCTAAAGGAGTCAGGTGCTGCAGAAACGCAGGCAATACAAACAATGGAAGCAGAAATGTCCCTTCAAATGTGAGCTAATGTTCTGCACATGTTATTCGGGGAGAGGGCACAAGACCCCACTTCACCTCTTTTTAACGCGGCAGACATCAGCTACACCTCATTTTTCACAATTATCAAAACAGACCAGCCCTCCTTAAAATACATTTCCCAGTGTACGCTTATAAAATCGCACCATTATCTCTGATTTAATCCTACAGATAGGAGACCTCTGCCTTTAGCTAACTTCTGTTTCCCTCCAGCTCTTGACTGCCACCGCATTCTCGGATCTAATAACAAAACAAAACCAAAAAAAAAAAAAAATAACCCTTCTAACTTGCTATATTTAACATTCATTGGAATCATCTTTTGAGGCTTAGACTTAATTAGAAGAAGAGAATGCCTGTATGATCTTCTTATTTCGCAAGTATTTATTTTACTGTGAAACTATGATAGAGAAACGATTTGGAAACTGTATGTAAATCCCTGGAGCTGAAATGGAGCCAACAGAGACTTAAAAGAATTCAGTGTTCAGAGCAGGAAAACCTGAAAAACTGCAGTGAGGAGTTAGCAGGAAAAGAAAATGAAAAACTTAGGCAAACCTGCCAGCTTTGCAAACTACAAAGGACATTTGAGAAGGAAACCGGGGCAGCTCTTTGAACAGAACTGAATGCACTAAATGAAGTAGGGGATCACCAAGACTCCAGGGAACACTAGACTTCTCTCTTTTCTGTTAAGTGTCTTGATCCCACACAAGTCATCCCACAATTTTAAACGCCCTATAAAACATCATAATAATACATGATAAAAAAAATAGCAGAAATTACCTTTCAGAAGTGGAGGCAGGGTCTGGAACCTGGAGACTTTCTCTCCCTGAGTTGGACAGTCCACCTGACTCGGAACAAAACTGGAAGAGATGTGATTGCTGGTTTTTATAAGCAAACCAAAAAAGGGAGGGGCCAAGAATAAGGCTCAATATAAATAGAGGTTTAGTTGCAATCATGACGTGACTAACCAATCTTGACTGTATCTGTCCCATTGGCAAGTTTGGTGAGTACCCTCCCCTGCTTTACAAGCACAACTTATTTACATCTTCCTCCAATATCCTGGATGGTTTTCCAAGGTTGACCTCACTCAAAATGTAACTGTAAACTTTCTTTAAAAATTACATGGGTCACAAATAAAACAAACTAGTGACTATAACAAAAAAGAAACACAGATATAGAGAACAAGCTGTTGGTTACGTGGTGGGGAGGGGCACGATGGGGGGAGGGGACTGAGGCACAAACCACTATATATAAAATAAATAAGCTACAAGGATATATTGTACAGCACACGGAATATAGCCAATACTTTATAATAACTATAAATAGACCTTTAAAAATTGTGAATTGCTATGTTGTACACCTGAAACTTACATAATATTGTGTATAAACTATATCTCAATAAAAAATGTGTATGGGGGAGGGGTATAGCTCAGTGGTAGAATGCATGACACCCATGCAGGAGGTCCTGGGTTCAATCCCCAGTACTTCCATTAAAAAATAAATTAAATAAACCTAATTACCTCCCCCCATACCAATAAATAAATAAATTTTTGTTTATATATATATATATAAAGTACTAGGGATGTAACATGCAACATGATTAATATAATTAACACTGCTGTTTGTTATATATGAAAGCTGTTAAAAGAATAAATCCTGAGTTCTCATCACAAGGGAAGAAAAAAAATTTTTTTACTTTGTATCTATATCAGATGATTGGATGTTCACAAAACTTAAGTGGTAATCATTTCATGATGTATAAATCAAATCATTACTTTGTCCACCTTATACAGTGCTGTGTTGATTACATCACAATAAAAGTAAAAGAAAAATAAAGTACGTGGATCACGAAAACCTTGGAGCACCTCCAAATGGGGGGGCTGTGGGATGAGGGGAGGCGGTGGAAGAGGAGAGTAACTGACATCTATTGAAATCCGTTTCTCATCGTCATTTCAATAAATGGAACCATCTTCCATCCACCCACTTAAGCCAAAACCTAGTAGTCAAACATACACACACATCTTTAATCCATCAGCGGGCCCTATAATTTCTATCTTGGTATATATCTCAAATATGTCTACTGACCTTCATCTCTTTTTTTTTTTTCCAGGGGGGAGGTAATTATGTACCTTGTGCAGGCTAAGCATGCACTCCACCACTTGAGCTATACCCTCCCCCGCTACTCACCTTCATCTCTAACGCAAGGCTACTCCACTGCACCACGACCTCTCACTCTCTCCCCCAGATACACTGAGTACCCAAGGTGTCCCCAAGCTTATTCCTCTCTAGCTTTGCCTTAATGCATTCTCCACCCATAGCCCAAGAGATCTTTTACAGTGTAAATCAGATCATGTCACCGCCCTGCTAAATGGCTTCCCATGGCCTCAGGAGAAAAGAACAAACTCCAGAGCTTGCCTGCCAACCCTGTAGATCTGGCCTAACACTCCAGCCTCAAGTCTTGGCAAGCCCTTCACTTAGGGCTCTGAGCTTCAGCTATTAGGCCTTCTCTCTGACCCAGAGGCTCCAGCCCTGTGGTTCCCACCTCCCTCTCCCCATTCTTTCAGGAAGTCAGCTTCTGCTCCTCCTGCGAGCCTTAAACTCCAGGCTCTCTGGCTGGTGCCCTCTGACCAGGTGCAGGAGTGTCTTCTCTCCAATAATCCAATACTGGGCTCAGATATTCCTGTTCCAACCTCTTGAGAACTGCTTTAATCCCAGAGTATTATTTAATCTCTACGGGTTTCGATTCCTGCTCCATTAAATGGTGTGAAAAAGGAGGAGGAGGGGGAGGAAGTAAACCTTTTTAAAATTTTTTTCAGTTGAAGTATAGTTGATTTTATAATATTATATTAGTTTCAGGTATACAACATAGTGACTCAAAATTTTTATAGATTACACTCCATTTAAAGTTACTATAAAATGTTGGCTATATTCCCTGTGCTGTATAACATACCCTTGTAGAAAGTGCAAGTAGATCCTGAAAGTTCTCATCACAAGGAAAAAAATGTTTGTAACTCTGTGAAATGATGCATGTCAACTAAACTTACTGTGGTCACCATTTCAAAATGCGTGCACATATCAAATGTACTACTCTGAGCACCTTAAACTTACACAATGCTGCATGTTAATCATATCTCAATAAAGCTGGAAGAAATATATACAATAATATAATTATATTATTTACATAAATAGTATTTCTATTTATGTAAGACTCTTTGAAGAATTGAGACACACTGTGTAAAGCTTGTAAACCCAGAGTCTTGGGGGGTTCTGGCACTGTTCTAGGCACGGTAAGCAACACAAATGAAGTTCTTTCCCCTTTGGAGCGTATCTTCTAGGGGCAGATGACATCAGGGTCACTGGAGATGGGAAGATGCCTGCTGTTTCTTTGGATTGGGGCTTCCTGAGGAGCAGAGACCACCAGGAAGTCGGGTGACAAGGCATTCAAAGACGGGGAACAGAAGGTGAGAAGGCTCGGAGCAGAAAGCTTGGCTTGGGGAAGGCTCTGCAAGGCGGCCAGTGCGTCGGGGCCCAGGGAGTGAGGACAAGGGAGCAAGGAAGTACGACAGGACAGGACCTTGTAGAGACAGGGGCAAGGGCTGGGTTTTGACTCCGGTAGCGAGCTACGGTAAGGTATCAAAGATGGTCAATTCTCTGTTCTCATTTTCTTGGCTATATCTGGAGCACCTGACAGAGGGAATCCTTCCTCTTCCTTGAAACACTTTCCCCTTTATTTGGGACACCACGTCCTCCCGATTTCCCCCAGTCCTCACTGGCCGCTCCTTCTCCATCCCATCTGCCGAGTCTTTTCCCCTGACCTCCAGACTCTGACGTGTGCCAGCGCCCAGTGCTGGAGCCTGGTCTTTTCCCAATTCATTTCCTAGGTATTTCATTGGGTCCAATGGCTCAAAATACCATCATCTATAAGGCTCCTAAATTGAAATATTTCCCACCCAGACCTCTCCCCTCAACTCCCAAAACATACTTGCAGCTGTCTACTCCAGCTCCCTTTCGAAGGCCAGAAATTATTTCTAGGTTTCAATCCCAGACCTTCTCCCACAACCCGCCACCACTAATGCATATTTAATATTGTGGAATTGTATGAGACTCTCCAGGAAGGGACTGGACATGGAGAAGTAGAGAGATGGGTCAGCAACTGACATTGGACCCTGAATCTCTGCCAGGTAACCCACCGAGCTCATCACACATCAATTATTCCTGCCTGGCCTCTTTCCACTAGAGTCTAAACTCCATAAAAATAGATGACACTGTGATTTATTCTCTGCTATATCTCCAAGTCTTTGCATGACGTCTGTCTATAGCAGAGATCAATATATGTTTTCAAAACAAGTGAATATAAAAATAATATTAATGCATAGAACTCAGCTGTAGGAGATCCAGCCAGAAGGGAACTGAAGTTTGGGTGTTCAGGCCAGTCACTGGGGTCTTGGCTCAGTTTCCTCATCTGTAAAATGGGGTTTATAACCTCTACTGGGCCTGCCTCATTGGACAGTTGGGTTGCCCACGTCATAGCACGGGGAAGCTGCGTGTTGTATAACAGAAAAGGGTTGTTTTTACAGTGACTCTTGTGTCTACGGAGTATTCACTCCACAGAAGACTCCACTTTTGTGTGGACTCATGCTTGAACACACCTGGAACTCCAGGCCCAGCCCCTGGTGACGTTTCCATCAGACCCAAAACCCAGAAGGTTCTGCAGTTTTTGCTAGAGCACTCAGGGTCTTTGAACGCACTTTTCTCCTCTTCCTTGACTGTTCCTTTTGGATGAGATCATGGTGTAGTGAGTGGAATGTACAGTTGGTTGGTCGGGAATTTTACTTTTTTGGTCTGAATCAGACCGGTAACTCCATCAAGAGCAGGGACTTGTCCGAACTCACCGCCAGCAGTGCCTCCTGTGTTTCTCTGCCTGGGGTGGGCTGGGTGGACTCCAGCACTGATACTTCCAAAAAGTTCTGTACAGAAGCGGGGCCCGCATGCCGCGAGGCTCAGCTGAGAGCACTCTGGTCTACTGAGCCCACCCCAGGGTACCTTTCACTTTGTGACTCGTTTAATCCAGGTGACGACCCTGTGAGGTAGGGCACTTATGTTTCCATTTTTAGAGGTGAAGAACCTGGGCACAAAAGGGATTCAGTAGCTTTCCCAAGGCCCGCCAGTAACCAGCAGCAGCGCTCGGAGTCTAAATCGAGCACCTGCCTCCAGGGCCTTGGCCTTTATCCACAGAGATATACGGCCTCCCTCAGCCCAGGGCCCTCTGCCTAGGTCCCCCTACCCCGTTCTATCTCCCCCTCTTCCCTCCCTCACTGCCCTCCTTTGCTGTACAGACACTGGCCAAGCCTCACCCCAACACCTCATGGTGTATCCCCAGGACCTTGAACCATGCCTGGCACAGTAGATGCTCATTAAACACTAGACACAAAATGAGGGCGCATACTGGGTGCCACACACTTGTTGTCTCTTATCCCATGACACGCTCCTAGCCACACAATGAAACGGCTCTCCCTGGTCTTGCTTGAAATGCAGATGTTAAAGACGCGTTCAGCCAACAGAACGCACACCCACTAGGGGCCCGCGTTTCCCCCACATGCCGGGGAGACGGGCTGTCCGGAAAGTGAGCTCCGTGTTTGCAGGGCTACCGTCCCAGCGGAGATGCAGTCACACCTCTGTCACGGTGATCTTTTCAAAATCTGCATTGATCTTTTCAAAAGGCAAAAATCTGATCACAGTAGGACCCTGCCCCAAACTCCCTCAGAATAAAAACAAAAGTTCTGGCAGGAGCCGGTGTGAAGACTTTGTGTTTTATTCCAAGAGCACTGGAATGCCACTGAGGGGAAAAAAAATAGAAGTAAAACTGAAAGAACTATTGAACATCAAGTAAGTGTTTCTTCCTCGAGAGAGATTA